AATAAATTAAAAAATGTTCAATTATAATGAATATATTCTAAATCATATTTAAATACTCATTTATTCAATAATCAATTACATTATTTCATGAAATATTATCAATAAATGAATGTATATGATATAAATAATTTATTATTAATTCATTAGATTCTAATGAATAATAATTTTAAAATATTAATTATTTTTCATTAATTCTATTCTTGTTCTCTTCTTTTAATTATATTGATTGATTAATTTAATTATTCTTTTATTTGTTTATCCATCTTATCAATGTCTTTATTTAATATACATTTATCTTTTAATTTGTTATAAAATAAAGAATATTTAAACAATAAATAAATCAAATAAATAAAGAAGAAACAAATAAATTAAATGAATAAATATAAAAATACAAATAATATTCAATAAAAATAGATATAAATAAATTAACATAATAAATGATAATAATACAAGACATAATAATAGAATATATAATTATATTTACAACACAATGTCTATGTAATAAAATACACTAACATGAAAATATATAGATAAAATAACAAAAGAAACAATAATAAAAGTAATGATTTTATATAATAAATAGAATAAGAATAAACAAAGAATATATTTAAAATAATATCTTTAATTGAAAATAATAAAAATATTGAATAATAATATTACAATAAATAAGATATTCATATATAAAATAAATATCTATTCATAATTACATTGATTCATAAAAATAAAATAATTAACATAAATAAGTAATATTATAACATTAACAATAATGAAATGAGTAATAAAGAAACAGATTAATTTGATAAATTAAAATAAAAAGAAAATAATAAAGAAATGTAATATTTTATAAGAAATAACATATAAAATAATTAAATAAATCTAACAGAAACAATATGATAAATATTTTATTTCATTTGTATCATATATTAACAAATAAATTCATTATTATTTATCATATTCTATTATCTTTTTATATTAATTAATTTATAACATGATTAAAAACTGAAGTTAACAAAATGATATGTATTATCATTTTAATTTATCATTCAAATTAAAATATAAATCATTTCGTAATTATAAAATAAATTTCAATAATCAGATATTGATTATATCATCATTTAATTCATATTTTATATTAATTCAATATTACAAATATTATCTGTTTTTAATTCTTAATTTTTCATTATAATTTCTTAATATACACAAAAAGATCAATAAAATAACAAAATGCACAACCAAGAACTAATGAAATAACACCAACATTCATAACTATTTTTATTTTTATTTCATTCTTTCAAGTTCTTTATTTCTTTTCAATTTTTTCTTTTTCTTCCTCTTTAATATACAATTTTCTATTTTTATTTCACTAATAATTTTATACTATTCACATTAAATAATTTCTCCATTATTTATTTTTATTATTCTATAATATTTGTTTCATATTTTATATTATACTTTATTTATTCTATGTTTTATTCATATTTAATTTATATTCATTATGATTTTATTTTTTTATTTTTCATATTTAATTTTATTCATATTCAACAATTCTATTAATTATTCTATTTCATTTTCTATTATTGTGTTATTATATTATTCATCTGATTGTGTAAATAAATTAAATATCATTATTTATCATTTATCATATTTCTATATTATTTATATTTATCAATTTATTTTAAAGTTATTTTATATGAAAATATCATTTATTTTTTATTTATTTTAAATTTTATTATTTATTATTATTTATTTCTTGTTTTTTATTATATTACTTCTTTTTTTTATTAATTATATTCATCTTTTTGTTATTTTATTAATATTATCATTTTGTTATTTGTTATTTTATATTTTGTTTTATCTTTATTATTATATTTTATTTATATTATTATAGTATATGTTTTATTTAATTTATGTTATTTTAATTATTCTTTTCTTTATTTACTTTATTTATTATTTAAATACTTTATGTGATATTTATTATATTATATTAATGTGATGAATGAATTTTAATAATAGTATTTATTTGAATTTAAAATAAAATAAATGATTTGAATATGAAATAATAAATAAATGAAAATGATGTTGATTATTGAATTGATAATGAGAATAAATTTTATTGAATAGTTAAAATAAAGAATCATTTGAATTAGTATTAATACTATTTTATTATTTATTATCTTATTATTATGTTTCTTTATTTTTTATTATTATTTATTAATTTTCTTATTAAATATTTATTGTATTATTATGAAAAGTAATAGAATAAATAAATGATGGTGTTGTGTTGTTTGTGTGTTGGTTATAATTTTGATGATATAAAATCATAATTATTCATATTAAAATAAATGTGTGTTAATATAAAGAGTGATAATTCTATATTAGTATTAATATTGTGTTTCTTCTTCATAATGAATGAAATAACAAATAAATATTAGTACTTGTTTTATGTAGTGTCTCTAACCTGCCCCTTCGAACTCATTTAATGATTTGATTATGATGTATAGAAAAGAATAAAACGAAAAATGAAAAAACTAAAAAAAATGTAAATAAGAAAAAGGACATGAAGTAAGCCATTCCTAATGGCATGACGTGGAAAACAAAATTATTAAAAGGACTTATCTTGATAATGTATCATCTCAAATTTAAAAAAAAAGATGGAAGATACAGTAAATTATGAAAACCTTATTCCTAGTGAAGAACGAGATATCATGAAATTAGAACATTACCCACATACTATTTCATATGGTAATTATTTGTGTAATTCTTTGAAATCACCATCTCCAGATTATTCAAATCAACCACCATCATTATTTGTTGCTGTTGATACAACAAATAATACAATGTTCACGAAATCTATTATTTATGTAGTAAAGAAACTCGTTCCAGAATTTAAAGATACTGCAGCTGATAAGTTTACTTTCAGACATTTTACTGAAGGAATCACAAATAAACTTGTTTGTATAACAGATACTACAAATGGGTTTGCTGTTAATGTAAGAACATATGGATCTTATACGGAGTATGTCATCGATAGAAAACAAGAACTTCTTATTACTGAGGCATGTAGTTCTGTAATATTATATGGAACTTTTTTAAATGGGGTTGTGTATTCATATATTCCAGGAAGAACACTTACAATTGGTGATTTAATTGATCTCAACACATTTAGAAACACAGCAATTGCTATTGCCAAACATCATAAAATTAACCCCCCACTAATAAAATCTCCATTATTATTTGTTACACTAAGAAAATGGATTATTAACGTACCAACAGAGTATGTAGATTCTAAGAAAGTCCCCTTCGATGTTAAAATATTAAAGAATGAGTTAGTATTCTTAGAAAATATATTAAAAGATAAATCAGATGTAGTGTTATGTCATAATGACTTATTATTAAAAAATTTCATTAAAGGAGAAGATAATGTTTCTTTGATTGACTATGAATATAGTGGATACAATTACCGTGCATTTGATTTAGCAAATCATTTTTGTGAGTGGTGTGGGTTTGATTGTAATTGGGATAGTTATCCAAATGAAGAAACACAACGTCGGTTCATTGGTATTTATCTTTCTACTTATTATAAAAAACCTGTTGAAGAATTATCATCTGAAATAGAAAAAATTATTGAAGAT